TGTCTCAGAGGCTAGCCCATGGATTCTTAAGAAAACAGGCTCCCTCAATGTTATCTAAAATCCATTTATTTTCCTCAAGAAACAAAACAAAAACTGAAAGGCCAACCTGTACCACTCCACATTTCTTGTCTCTAGAACTTCTACTACCTGTCAAGGACCATATGCTTCTAGAACTGAATTCAATAGTTCCAAGACCCTGAATCCTAAAAGGTAGAAACGGCAGCAACTTCTGAAGTTCACTTACTGCCTTACAGCTACTAACTATTTTACTTGTATGATCTTCCAGTATGTCTCAAAAAGTATTAGAATCCAGTATGATTCTAATACTATCCTATCCTACTGTCACTGTAGTCAAATAATAGTGAACTAATACTTATTAAGGGACGTGGTGGCGCTGTGGGCTAAACTGCAGAAGCCTGTGCTGCAGGGTCAGAAGACCTGCAGTTGTAAGATCGAATCCACGTGACGGAGTGAGCTCCTGTCGCTTTGTCCCAGCTCCTCGCCAACCTAGCAGTTCGAAAGCATGTAAATGCGAGTAGATAAATAGGTACCACCTCAGTGGGAAGGTAAAATGGCGCTCCCTAGTCACACTGGCCATGTGACAACGGAAACTGTCTTTGGACAAGCGCTGGCTCTACGGCTTGAAAATGGAATGAGCACCGCCCCCTAGAGTCGGACATGACTGGACTAAAAAAAAAATGTCAAGGGGAACCTTTACCTTAATACTTATTAACTATCCCACATTTAATTGTGGTTTCACTTTTGTTGATACCACTAATGCAGATCAACAACTTCTACATATATTCGTCTTTTTGTTCCACATATCACATATTGCTGCTGATTCCTTTTTGAGAAATTACTGTATGTGCTGTTTCTAAACTGATTAGGTTAGAAAAAAGGCACATAAGCCAAGACATAAGTGTATAAAGTGACATATAGTTAGATAAAGTGGAGAAGTACTGTATTATCTTCTTCTTTAAAAATAATACAACCCTGGGTCGTCCAGATTCAGGACAGCATATAGTTTTTAAAAGTGTGGAATTTGCTATCACAAGCTTCATTGTAGGCCTGGATGAACTGCTGGAAGTGGTACTCTCAGTGTCTGCTAGTACTGGTGGAGATACTGATTCTCTTAACACCAAACACTATATGTCTCTATACATCAGTTCCTGGAAAATGTAAGTGGGAGGGTAGCATTGCACTCAAGTCCTTGTGGCCTTTCCATAGCATAGGTCATTGGTTGGACCTTTGTTCTGATCCAGTATGGCTGTTCTTCAGCTCTTAAAACCTCTCAACTGAGGTGAGCAGTAAGTTTTAATAAGAAAAATAGCCAAATTACATAGTGTAGGTTTCTAATCTCTGATATATTTTTCATCTCTGATATTTCTTCCTATTTATCAAAAATTAGGACTCTCGTGGTCGTCAAAAGTTTACATATTAAAACAAATCTGTTTTTCATGTAGCTGAGATAATTAAAGAAGTATGGAATTTACTTTTCCACATCCATTAGAGGATTCCATGCACTTGTTTATTTTCCTTGTTTTTCAGTACATCATGCACTATCATATACCAGGCCGAAATTAAGAATAAAATCAATGTGGGATGACTTTTTATTTTTATGTGAAAACATTAAGATGTCATTATCAAGGAATGCACTTGGGTATTAGAGGAATCTGAATTCACACCACAGAATGTTAGTAATGTGGTCTAAGAAAATTTCCATACACAGGCTTCATTCAGATGTAATGCCAAGCCATAGTTTGATGTTACAAGAAGTGAGCCATGGGCTCATGCAGGCTCTTCTCCCTTGAATCTAATTTTTTTAAACAAGCAACAGCTTGCCAGTACATACGAAGAAGGCAACTTAACAGTTTGCCTGCCAAGTTCAAATACAGTTTCCAGGCCAGATCTCCATATGCTGCAGTTTACCTACTTTTGATACAATGGTGAAATAGTATGCTGCTAAATTGGAACTCGCATAAAGGTGGACTAGGAGAAGAGAGCAAAGGAGATTTCCTAATACTGTATTGTTCAAATAACATCAAAGTAGAGATGTAAATTTTGGCCTCATCAGTCCTCACACACATGGAAGAGAATATTAATTTTTTTCCTCATAGTGAGAGGATTGGTGGCTTTTAAAAACTGGTCTCAGAAAGAAGCAGTGCATTTGTAAGACTTTTTTTCCGCAGAATCAGACATTTAAAATAATAGGAACTAAAGTTTTGTTGTTGCATCGACCTTTTAAAAAATTCAAGTATTAGATGTATCCTTGGGCTGACTCTGGAAAGTGTTCAGAAACTTCAGCAGGTCCAAAATGCAGTAGTCAGATTGTTAACTGGGACTAGTCACAGAGATCACATAATCCCCCTTTTTACAGCAGCTCTACTGGCTGCTGATCCATTTCTGGGCACAATTCAAAATGTTGGGTATAATCCTTTTATGAACCTGCTCATCAGGAGAGGCCTTTCTCTCGGTCCAGCCACAGGTGCATGGTGACATGGCAGAGGGCTGTCTCTGTTGCTGTTTCCAGACTTTGGAACTCCTTCCCACAGGAGGCCAGGCTGACCCCATCTTTGCTGTCCTTCCACAAGCAGGCAAGGACCTTTCTCTTCAGACAAACTTTCCCTTAATGACTGGCTGCCTGAGTGGGGTTTTTTAATGGATGTTTGTACCTTACTGCTTTGAATGCATTTTTGGTATTGCTTTTGTTTACTGTCTTTTAGTGTGGTTTGATCCTTTTTAGTATTTTTATACTTACTTTATATACTTACTGCTTTTAGCTTTCATTATTGTCATTTAATGATGTAACACACCTTGGGTCCTTCTTAAGGAGAAAGGCAGAGTAAACATTTTTTAAATAAATAACTATTTTGGGGGAATCTGCCTACCTTTTTGTGCTTTTTGTGTGTGTGAACTTAGTTTCAGAAAGATAAAAGAAAACAGACATTTTGCTTAAATGGTGCAAACTGCGCCTGGAGGAAAAGCAACTGGTGTCTTGATTTCACACTGGAGGTGAGAACTCTAGAAGAAGCTGCAGAAAACCTGACAGTGGGATATTGGTGAGATTTCTTTACATGTCTGTTCAAAGTATGATTTGGTATTATATCCCAACCCAGCCCATAGTGTATGTAAGTGATTATTAATTGAAGCACTTGGTACTCTCAGTACACATATTTTAACTGTGATTTGCCACAAAATTGCTATGAGTCTAGAAGGATTAACATCATCACCACGGATCAAATACCCCTACCACTAAGTTAGAACAGCAGTGTTACTGCTCAGCTCCCACATTAACAGCCATGAGTCCTTTCTACCTCTTGCGGTTCATTCATCAGGGCAAGTGGTTGTTGTCTCGCCTCATATTCACACTATCCTCAGCCAGCCCATTCCTGCCTGCCTCCTTACCAGAGGCAAAGGAACTTGGGGGAGGGGGGAGAACAAATCCAGGGGAAGGGAGAGTGAGAGGTGATGATGTCTCTTGCTATGTTTTTTTCCGTGTACGTATGGTAGACCTGTTTCAGAGGGCTTTGGCTGCTGTTGATTTTACCTCTGTTTTCATTACTTTGTGGTCATGGCATATTTTCTGCTTTTTAGGCTGCTAGGTTTGTGCTCTGTTTTAATATATTTTATTGTTTTAATTACATCACATGATGTTCTGGATGTCCCCAGGCAGAAAAAAGGACTATAAATGAAAATAACAGACAAACAAAGACATTGTAAAACAAATGCATTAATAAAGAGTATGAATTCCAACTTTTGACCCTGGTCTTGCCCTTACTGGTTCCTGGGCCTTCTGCCCCACCACATACAGTGGGCAACAGGTGTCACTGATTCCTGCTTTCATTTCCACAGGGAACAACTTCAAGACATATCCTTAGACCAGAAGAATTATGAATGGGTTGGGCAGGGGGTGGGGAGATAAACATACCACAATAAAAAAAACAGGGTTTCTTTTTCTTATACTCAATTTGTATTTGGAAGAGTTTCACCTTTCTAATAGAACAGAAGAATCGCAAATATCACATGTAATGACACTCCAGTAGGCTAAAACCTCCCTAATCCAGTGGAAGAGCATGTTTTTGCACAATAACAAACCTAAAATACATATTATGCAACATCCTGTCTGTTACAATGCAATACAAAATGGAATTAATCCACATTGAAATTAACCAGCTTTGTTTCCAAACAAAATAATTTATCTTGATTAGTTAATTTACAATTAGCTTCTGTAGTAATTATATACTGCCATATAAGCAACAATTAATAGCTAATTCTACACTGCTATACAAACAATATCTGAAAGCCAATTGCTTATTCTTCTTTTGTTTTAAATAAAATACAAGTATGCCACTGACATTTCTATTTGGAAGCACATAAAAGTTTTTCCTGGAATGATTATTACAATTTACCATATTTTCTAATTTCACTTCTAAGCTTTCAATCTTCCACAGCACAGTCAAAAGTTATAAGCTGGTACTCACTTCATTCAAAAGAATGTAGAATTCAGCAATTCTCAAACAATATATTTCAAGAACATTTAATTTAGGTCTAACTATGTTTGACATTTGGTAAAAAGAAAGAAAGAAAGAAAGAAAGAAAGAAAGAAAGAAAGAAAGAAAGAAAGAAAGAAAGAAAGAAAGAAAGAAAGAAAGAAAGAAAGAAAGAAAGAAAGAAAGAATCACCCATAAAATTTAAACAGCATTGGTTGCCCTTTATTTCAACGTATTTGCCCATTCTGTTTGTGGGCTCCTATGAAAAGTTACTAAATATGCCATGCTCACACATTCACAAACACAACATGGATTGTGGATTTTAAGTAGTTACAATCTTCTTTTGCCCTTCAGAAAAATTATCAAGAACAATCAGTAGGATATGGAACAGTCTGAATGACATCATGCTCATAGTCTCTCTAAGAGAAAAGCAAAGAAATGCACACAGTGTATAAACAGTATAAGACGAAAAAGGATTAGCAAGGACCAGAAAGAATTCACAAGACTTACCTACTCGGAAGTTGGATGCTGTCAAGGTGTCAGCAGCGTGTCCATTTTCACTAATCAGTGTTGTGGTGTTTCCTTTCTCACAGCTGTTTTGGCAGGTGCCTTTTTTACAAGTCACTTTACAGATGCTGGGTGTAAAGACCACCTTGATGCGTCCCGTGTGATTCCCCACTGGGAGCAGAGGTAACAAGAAAAAGAAAAACAAAGAGATAATTTTGGCAGCCATTGATATTTTCCTTTAAATGATTTATACCAAAAGAGAAAAATATCGTTTTTTTAAAAAGCAACAAAGTTTTTAAATGGAAGAGCGCAGCCTTCAAGTGCTCTCTCCTCGCTATCCAGTGGTGTCTCTGAAACAGAAGTAGGAAGCTTAACGAACAGCACTCCGGGATCCACTCCAAAACCACATTTAAAGTCAAGTCACTGGAGTGGGATTAGTAATCACAATGCTCCACTTTATTCACAGTCAAAGAGCAATACCAAGGGCATGACAGCTTAAATAGGCAACCCTGACAGGCAGATGTAATGTAAAGCGACTGGCTGTTCACCTAGGGGTGAATAAACTCTTGCCGTCTTTCCTCTCCTGTATACTTTCCCTGTTTCTACACTTATTAAGTCACTATTTGTAGCCCAACCCCTGGAAATGTTTTAGGCATGCCGCATGTCTGAAAACATCTGTCTCAAATCTCCTGGCACCCCAGTCTGAAGTGAACAAATCCTGTGACGCAGCTGCTGGGACCCTCCCCCCACCCTCCTCAAGATTCTTGGAACAGTTACTGCATGTGGATTTACATATTATAGCGTTTACTTTGCTGCCGACTACCAGGACATAAACCAAGGTTTTAATTGTGAAACTTTGCCAAAGCAAAGCTTCAGGAGAATGTTTCAGACCCAAATCTGTCACTGATAAGAGGTGGGATGGAAGTTGGAAGTCAGGACAAGCATCTTCCAAACACGTATCTTAATGCTTTTAATCTGATTTAATCATTAGCATCATTTGTATCTCATTTGTCCTTTCAAAAGAATGACAAAAGCAACTAACAACATCATGGTATGGGGAGGAGCAAGAGGAATCTATGTTATCTACTGGAATATTTAAAAAACAAGAAAAAAAGATCCAATGGTACAATTTCTTTGAATCATGCTGCTCCTGCAAGACACAAGGATGTTTTCTCCCTCCAACAGTCCTCTGTGTATCTTAAAGACTTACTCTGGAGTACATGGAAATTTTCTGGAGCAGTTTATTTGGCACGAGGGATGTTGGCAGGTCTTCTCGTCCGAGTCCCAAGTCTGAGACTTTGGGTCCAGGTCCTGAGGTTTCATGCCTCGAGTCCAAGTCTCTAGATGTTTGCCCCACCCCTGGGACGCACATACACAGACAGCGGAGCTGGAAGCAAAGCTGAGCCAGCAAATGAACATGTGCAGACACAAGAGGGCAACATCCGTTCCCTGAGCCGGCCCCTGTCTCTGCGCATGTGCCAGTCTACCACCTGGGTGGTGGGTGCATGGGTGGAGGCAGCAGCCAGCTCCTGGAAGAGAAGTGGGCTTGCTGCTTACGAGGATGTTGGTGGTGGCAGGAGCAGGTAAGAAAGCCCATCCCTAAAAGGGACTTGACAATGTGACCAGAAAAAAAGGGTCAGAATCGCGAGTTGAGTCCAAGTCTTTCAAAACCCACAACAAACCTGTGTTGAGTCCTAGTCAAGTCACAGGTAAGACTAAAGTCAGACTCAAGAGCAAGTTGCAACTCAAGAGTCCCCATCCCTATTTGGCACCATGAGGGTCTCCGGAAAAAAAGGGAAGGGGAAAAACATTCTTATTTCACTGGCATAGGATATCACAGTACCCCATCAGGTACCGGTCTAAGAGCACAAGCCTAAGGAGCCGCAATGGCTGAGCTGATGCTAAACTAGCTGAGGCTGTGCTGAATCCAAACTCCTCCCAGCCTGGTGATGCTAGACGTTGGACTATACTGACCTTGGCCTAACTCTGTGCTGGCACAACAGCTGGGACTTTGTGCTAAAAGGGTTTTGGAGTTGCCGTAACTCAGCTCATCCACCCCTTTGGCTTTTCTCCTGGCTGATCCCAGCCAACATAATAGTTGTGCCAAGCAAATCCAAGATCAGCTATTACAAGGACCATTATACTGGCTCAAGAACAGTTGTGCCAGCACATCTGGGATTAGCCAGTACATGGGCAGTTGTGCAAACACAACAGGCTTCTGCCCATTCCAAATCTACAATAGCCAATGAGTTTTGATTGTACTGCCTGTCAGTTAATAAATAAAAAAAATTCATGGCTCTGTCAAACAAAAAGTATAACAAAAGGCAAGCCGCATGTTAATTAAAAATACACACTAACATGCCAGTCCAGTAGCCAATCTATAAAATCATTTGAATATTTTAATTAAAAGAGAGATAGGCAACTTCAAGCCAGCAGAAACTAAGAGAAAAATTAAGCAAGGCCAGCTAATACAGCAATTCTTCATAAATATGGATCCCCTTGTGATAAACCTCTCCTCACCCCTCAGTTAATACTGAGGCAGAAAAAAGTGAGTCTATCATATCATACTTTAAAGGTGAGAAATGCACAAAATCTGTATTTTTCTAGTTGGTGAAATATGTATTTCACAGAATAAGCTTTTGTGCCACTATGGCCAATATCCTGTTGGACAACTCTGCCCGCACATTGTCAGCAGCAGACTGCGCCTAATCAAATATTTCATATTTCATTCCTGTTGCTCAGGCACTGCTACCCAACAGGTTATTATCCTCTCACTTTTTCTTCCTTTTCAAAAACCCTACTCTTATTAAAGCCACCAGACAGATGCCAAAAAGAATTTACATTTCCCCCTTGTTAATGCTCTAAAGCACTGGTTCTTAACCTTTGTTACTCAGATGCTTTTGAACTGCAACTCCCAGAACTGCAAACTCCCAGCTTGTGGTGAAGGCTTCTGGGAGTTGCAGTCCAAAACTCCTGAGTAACCCAAGGTTAAGAACCAGTGCTCTAAAGCAGAGGTCTCAAAACTTTTCAGTGGGAGGGCCACATCATATATGCTCCATGGCCCTGAGGAACGAAGGATGATGCACGCCCGCTCTCTCGCCCTCCTGCTAGCCCATCAACCCGCACTCATGTATGCACATTAGTGCACCTGCCCAGATAAAAAGGCAAGGTGGGCCGGATGTGGCCCGCGGGTCATAGTCTGGACACCCCTGCTCTAAAGCAAGTTCATTATTCATCAGCACAAATAGAATAAAACTAATTTATTTTACACAAAGTTTCCAAGGCTAATTTCTTCAGAAGTTTAGCATTTGTTTTCAACATTTACAAATAACCAGTCTTTTCCCTGACCAAGAAAAGTACAACACTGGTTGGATACTCATGTGAGATATGAATGTCCAAAGGGAAAATATTATGGATAATGCTTAAGAAAATGGAGAATGTTTTCTAACATCAAAAGAATATCATTTTGTATTATTTTTGGCTTTTAGTAAGACTGAATAGAAGCTAAGAAAAACAGTGCCAGGCGATTCTTTTGCAAACAGTGGTATTAAACTGTTTCCCTACCAAATTTATAACAAATACTGTACCACCGATTTATCCCAATGAACTTCCTTAGAGCAATCACCTTTAAGCTAATTTTTACATACATATTTTCCAAAAGTAACCAGCCACACATGGTTCAGGGGGACATCCCCCAATGGCTAATTATAGGCCCAAAGCAGACTGTGCAGTTTGCACAGATGGTCTGCAACAGTTGCATACTCCTTAGAAGACAAAAAACATTAATTTACCTAGCTCTGATAGCACTTCTTATCAGCTTTATCCTAACCAATCAAGGGATGGGCAGGGATATACCTGTGTTGAAGACATACAAAAGCACAATACTTGTTGTTTTTCCACTCATTTTGATTTTATTACTTAACAATGAATTTCTAACCCTTTTTTTTCCCTAAGAACAAACTGTATCTTCTGGAAACTAGTTCCATATACCTGTACAGACAGAGGTACAAAATTGCTTGCAAGTTGCTAAGCCATTTGCATTTTAAGAACCTCAACAGTCAGTTCTTTAAAGACCACAGAGTGCTTTACTATTTTATTTGGCTTGAGAGAAAAAATAAATCTTTTCCTAGAAAACTGTAACTCCTGTCCTCTGAAGATACCGGCCACAGAGACTGGCAAAACGTTAGGAAGAACAACCTTCAGAACACGGCCAAAGAGCCCGAAAAATCCACAACAACCATTAAAACCATAACTGTTTCTAGCCCTTATTTCAACATGCCCTTCACAACCTTTTCTTTTTCTTTTTCTTTTAGGAAGCAATCTAATTGCAAAAACATGCTTAGCTGAGTGATGTCTATCAGGCTGGCAAAGGTCCCTACTAAGAATCTCAACTGCAATTCAGCACAGCAGTGCCACAGCATGGCTTAAATTGAGCTCTGTCAGTACAGATGGGACTGAATGGCAATTCAGGTTTGGGTTCTTAAGACATGACACAAACAGAATAGCCAACTTTATACTAATAATACAACGCAGCATAATATAGGACTGTTGTAAGTGAGCTGGAAAAGTCAATAATGCATAGCTGGGGAACTTACAACATATAGGGATAGATATATGATGGTGTGAGGGTCCTTTTGTCTTCGCCTCCCCCGACCCCAATAAAACAGGAGACGCCTTAGTACCAAACAACTTGTCTTCATTTATTAACTGGGGAAAGGGTATAGAAGTGTCTATTAAGCTGGGGATAAACTTCTCCTGAGGGAGCAACGGCTCAATCAGGGGCACCCAATCTTCGTCAAACGGATTACTTGACTTCGAAGCCCATGGACCGGCCTGAACCCGTGAGGGTTCTTTGGGTTCGAAGTCATCTGGATCTGGTATCAATAGTGGGGTGGCCTCTTCATACCCTGCATATCCCCAGGGTACATGGTTCTCCGTCCTTGAGTCACCCCAGGGTCCTGGTAGCAACCCAGTTTCCTCAATTCCTCCAGATGCCATCGCCTCTTTTCTTCTCTCTCTTTC